TATATATATATATATATATATATATATATATATATTTAAAATATTGAATCCAAATGCATAGATATTATAATACTAATAAATTCATCAGTGTTATTAATTTCTTGTAGGTTTAAATTATATGGGTCTTCATTGAACTCCTATTACTGCTGGTCCTGAGATTCACTAGCACCATGATGGCGAACCAATGGCACGCGTGCCCAAAGTGGCACACAGAGCCATGTCGGCTGGCACACATGGCGTTGCCCGTTCCTCTTCTAGGTTTCTGGCAGGCATGCGTGCACAACAATCAGCTGACCTTTGTATGTGCGGCCGTGCCGGAAACTGGAAGAGCTGGTCTTCCATTTTCCAGAGTGAGCATGCACGCCGGCCAGATGATCATCGTGGACGCATGCGCACCAGTAACTGAAAGTCTACCTGCCTGGCACACAGGTGCTCACCAGAAACCGCAAGTGCATTTTCTGGTGCACGCATGCCCTCTGAGTAGCTCCTCTTCCTGGTCACGGCCCAGATGAATGCGCATGCATGAAGTGCTCCCTTTTCAGCACTTGGTGTTCCCTTTCGGCAAAATGCTCCCTTTTTGGCACTTGATTCGCCATCACTGCTCTAGATTCCAGATTGCCTTTGCTACTAAGCCTTAACACCATAGATTCCCAGCCTATATATTGTAGAGTATATCATGTTTTGGCAGCGGTTTCTATTATTTCCCAATTTATCATGCTATTCTGTTATAAGAATGGCTAGGACTGCCTTAATACTCTGCTTGTCAAAATAGAGAAATTTAATATTTGCAGCAATTCACTTAACAATTGTGGCAGGAAAGGTTGTAAAATGGTGCAAAACTCATTTCACAAATGTTTTGCTTAGCAATGGGAAATTTGGGCTCAATTGTGGCCGTAAGGCAAGGACTACCTGTAGGCTGGTTTACATGATAGAAGACCGTCATCTAGCCTGTCTCCTTTACACAGTTTCTCGAAAACACAATGCTGAAAAAGGCTAATGTAGAAAACAGCTTTTAAAAAATGAAATAATGGTATCAGTTCGTCAGATGTTAGAACTGGGGGAACTCCGGTAAGATAAAACTACAGACCTATCAGCCTGACCTCAATACCAGGAAANTAAGTCTTATTTATTTATTTGTCAAACACGTACAAGATAACAAGAATAGGTATGAACATAAACATGAATAAGGGAAGTAAATACAGATAAATGGGGACAGTAGGACAGGGACAGTAGGCACGCTGGTGCGCTTATGAATGACCCCTTTACGATCCTCTTAGGAATGGGGTGAGATCCACGGTAGACAGTTTGAGGTTGAAGCTGTGGGGGTTTGAGGCTTCAAGTCTTCAAGCTCTGCTGGCTAAGGAATTCTGGGAATTGAAGTCCACAAGTCTAAAACCTAACAAGTTTGGAGACCTCTGATGTAATTCTGTGTCAGGTCTAATCTTCTAATGGGAAAATTTCTGGGAGAATCTTCCTGAGAACTAAGACCAGGAAAAGGCTTTGAATGTAGCTGTCTTGCAGAGCTGAATGTCCCGACAGATTGAGAAAGATTCCCTCTATACATAGTTCTTTGTTAGACTATTTTAATAGCCTTTTCACCCTTTTATTTTGAATTTCTAATAATCTGATAGCTGCATAAGCCACAGTCTTACAGCTGGGTGGCCCTGTTTGGTTGCCAAATAGATACACAGTTTACCACCCACATTTGTTATTAAGAGAATAATGATAGCAGTGTGAAAAATAATGCTAGTCAAAACAATGGAGATTAAGTGGCAGAAATGAGTACACAGAGATCCAAATATAAAACTCTTAAATCACCAAACCTGAATCCAATTCAACAACGTCTTTAGTAAAAACAAATTATTTTATACTCCTTTACTTTTTGGATGTATTACTAACAACTAAAGAAGTTACCCCTGCATTTATTGGTCAATTCATCAGTGAATAACTTAAATAAGCTAACCTTTGTTTTCTGTTTGGTTCCACAAGGGAAATTGGGCTCAATTAATATAACATAAGGCAGGATTTGAAAGCCTGCAGGAAACTTTGCATAGTTTTAGAATAAATTATTCAAAGAGCAGCCTTCTAAAGAGATAAACGAACATAACATCTACCCTGGTCACAGTTGTGATGTCCACAATAATTTTAAAAAAAATATTCCTTTTTTGAAAGAGTTGGTGGGTTTTTTTTAGACCTTTGAATGCCATGAATGTAGGCTAAACAGATTCCCAAACAAAAGGAATAAATAAATTGGAGGACATCAAAGGGATGGAAGAAACTTGGCTTGCCAGAAGGATATTTGTCTTGACATGTTAAAAAAAATACACATTTAGGAGTCCTAGATAATTACACTGAATATAAGCCAGCGGTGTGATGCAAATGCCAACAAAGCTCATGCAATCTTAGGCTGCTCAGCATAATCTCCAATTAATGAGAAAGAACCACGAAGCATTATATCATGAGAAATAATAATTCCAATTGGATGATAGCAATAGCAATTATACACCGTTCCATATAGTAGTTTATAGCAGAGTTTCCCAATGTTTTGGCTTTGTGGACTGGCGGGGGTGGGAGGGGGAAGAGGGGAAGGGTTCTGCACGAGCGGCATACATAGCTCCATTTGCACAAGCAGTATGCATGCACGCCTGCTGTGCACTTAAATGGGGAATGCACGTGCATGCTCGCTCATTGCTCGTGCAAGTGCTGATGAGCTCACCAGCCGTTTCTGCGGCCTGCAGCCCGGTTGCAAACCCCACAGGTTGGGGACCCCTGATTTATATCTCCTCATTTTACCAACCTTGGAAGGATGGAAGGCTGAGGCAACCTTGAGCAGGTCAAGATCGAACTCCTGGCAGTGAGCACCACAGATATATAGATAGACAGATGAAGCAATAGCAATAGCACTTAGACTTATATACCGCTTCACAGTGCTTTTCCAGCCCTCTCTAAACAGTTTACACAGTCAGCTTCTTGCCCCCAAACAATCTGGGTCCTCATTCTACCCACCTTGGAAGGATGGACGGCTGAGTCAACTTTGGGCCGGTTGGAATCGAACTCCTGGCAGTGGGCAGAGTCAGCCTGTAATCCTGCATTCTAATCACTGCGCTGCCACGGCTCATGATGCTCTGATTCTGGTCTTAACCCCTAAAACCGTGATGGCGAACCTATGACAGGCATGCCCAAAGTGTCACGTGAAGCCATGTTGCCCGGCATGTATGGCCTTGCCTGTTTGTCTTCCAGTGCACATGCGTGCACAACGATCAGATGTCCTTCGCGCACAGGAATGCCGAAAACCGGTGTGCTCATGCGCGCTGGCTAACTGATTGTCGGGTACGCATGCGCACCAGAACCCAGAAGTTCAGCTTTTCCACAGCGCGATCCCTTTGCGCGTGTAGCACTGCCGACAACCACCCTGTGCATGTGCGCCTGCCAGCTGAACCTCAGGCTCTCTAGAACCTAGAAGTTTGGCTTTTCTGGAGCGCGGCCCTAACGAGCATGCGCGCAACATTTCCACACGAACTTTTTGCCATTCCCTGTTCAGAAGAACCTGCAGAAACCAAAATGCAGCCAGTCAGAAAAACGAGTGTTTGGAAACCAACAGGAAGAATAGGCGACAGATTTCAATCTATCACAATCTAGATCAGAAAAGGCAAAGGGGAGACATGAAGGCCGTCTCCATGCATCTGAAGTGATATCATGCAGAAAGAAGCTGGAATAGACTCATTGACTGGTTATTCAGAGGACAGGGTGAGACGTAGTGGATAGCAATGGCATTATTAAGCTACACTTCCAGTTTTCAGCCTAACAGAGGCATCGTCTTTGCTCAGATATTTAAGAGTGGATCAGAATGCCTTAGGACCACCTTGAACACAGGAAATGTGGAGACAAATTGCTGGAGTGTCACTTGCCAAGGATGCTCTTAATTGCATCCTGTAGCAGTGAATCAGGTGGCATACATGTTTGTGTAATAAGATAAATGCGGCACATGTTCTTTTGCATGGTGAGTTCAGCTACAGATCTGTTCTGGTGCTGAAGGTTACATAATTTAAAAGGCTGCCTTGAGAACTATAAATAACAGGCAATCCTCAATTTACAACAGTTCGTTTAATGACCATTCAAAGTTGCAAAGGAACTGAAAAAAAAGCAACATGACCATTTTTTCCATAGTTATAAGCATTGCAGCATCCCTGTGGTCGTGTGATCTAACTTGGCCACTGGTTCATATTTATGACAGTTGCAGTGTCATTTGAACAGATTTTGCCACCTTCTGACAAGCAAAATCAATGGGGAGCACCGATTCACTTAACAACCGTGTTACTAACTGCAATGATTCACTTAACAAGTATGGTTAGAAAGGTTGTAAAATAAGGCAAAGCCCCCTTAACAAATGTCTCCCTTAACAACATAAATTTTGGGTTCAATCGAGGTCGTAAGTTGAGGACTATGTGTAGTAATAAATAAGTAACGGGAAATTGAGCCACATCGGACTTTGAATTCTCCTCATTTGCTCTAGTTGAAGATGTTTTCAAACATCTACACGGTGTTCAATTTAAAATATTTTAAACACAAATGAATATTCGTGGCACAGTAATTTTGAGTTAGGCTACCTGTTGGATTTGAATTTACCTGTTCAGTTTTTCATGAATTTCATTCTCTTAGTGGTCAGAAGAAGCAGGTATATAGCTTGTGTGGAACAGATACGGTATTATTTCGTGGCTGTATTTGCACATAGGAAGCTTGGTTAATTTTAAGGTTACTATATTAATTAATCCTGCCACCTGATTTTGCACAACACACTGAATCACAAAGCAACAAACTCTCTTGAGATTGCACCACAATGAACTCATCCACAGAAGATACAACCATTGTTAGAACTAATCAAATTTAGCTAAATAAGAGTCAATTTGAATTGACAAGGGCAGCTACAAGAGCCACGGTGGCGCAGTGGTTAGAGTGCAGCGTGGCAGGCTACTTCTGCTGCCTGCCGGCTGCCTGCANTGTTGAATATAAGTGGTTGATTATGAAGATACCTCTTCATGATTATTTTTACATGCTTGGATGTTGTGAAATTTCATATTCTCCCAAGTTCTCTTACTGCCTTTGCAGTTAATGGAAATTTTGCTCTTTGCCTGTTCTCAATGTCCTTAGCTAGTTTATAATTTAGCTTTGACAGCTAAGTCAAATGTATATTTTATCATGTGCATAATACATGAAAACATGCCTTTTGCCCCCCCAAATGTGTCTGTCCAAAATGCTTTTTTTGTTGTTGTTGGTAGCCCTTTCCCCTTTACTTCTGGTCTGCCCTGGAATTTAGATGTGTGGCAACGTTTAGTGGGATACCGTAAACATTTTGTTTGCATAGACATGTTGCTAGCAGCAGAAATAAGTTAATACTGCACAGAAATCCTCGAATTGCATAATATTTTTGCTAAAAGTGGATCCTAGAGTGAGTAATTGCAAGTTAGGAGAGCTAAGCACTTTGCCCCAAAAGGTTTAAGTCAGCATGAATCCAATAGAAAAGAGGAAAAAAGGTTGCTATCTTTTACCTATATGAAAAAATAAACTATTTCATGATTGTTGAGCACTTTCCATTTGTAATTAGAAAAGTTGGTTTAAAGAAGCAGCATTTTATGGAACATAGCTTGTGTTATCGAATTTGTTTAACACTTTATGATCCAACATTTTGTTTCTACATTACCTAGAATAGAACATTGTGCTTCTACATGGCCTAGAATGCTAATCTGCCTTTTTCAATGTTATGTTTCCACAGTGGGGATTATCAGCCTACTTGTGTTATAAGAAATCTGTGGCAAAAACAAACACCATATCATACAAAGCAGGTAAGGGTGGTCAATTCATTTCAAAAATGTTTCTGGGATTACATGTCATGGTTTTATGGATTACATGTCAACCTAGGGGGTCAACCTCTTCCCCAAAGCACCTGAAGGCAGGACGAGAAGCCATGGATGAAAATTAATCAAGGAGAGAAACAACCTAGAAATAAGGAGAAATTTCCTGACAGTGAGAACGATTAATCAGTAGAACAGCTTGCCTACAGAAGTTGTGGGTGCTTTATCACTGGAAGCTTTGAAGAGACTGGACGGCCACTTTTCTGGAATGGTATAAGGTCTCCTGCTTGAGCAGGGAGTTCGACTAGAAGACCTCCAAGGCCCCTTCTCACTCTGTTATTCTGTTCTGTTAATCTAACATATTTAGAATATAGAACATAGAATAATAAAGTGGGAAGGAACCTCAAAGGTCTTCTGTTCCAACCCACTGCTCAAGCAGGAAACCCTGTATCATTCTGGCAAGATGGCTATCCAATCTCTTCTTAACAGCCTCTAGAGATGGAGTACCCACAACTTCTGGTGAAAACCGTTCCATTGATTTATTGTTCTCCTTGCTGAGAAATTCCTCCTTAGTTCTAAGTTCTTAGACCTCTTTAATGGTCTTCCACCCATTGCTTCTTGTCCTAAAGAGACCCTTCTGCTCTTTAATAGCAATAGCAATAGCAGTTAGACTTATATACCGCTTCATAGGGCTTTCAGCCCTCTCTAAGCGGTTTACAGAGTCAGCATATCGCCTGCTGACTCTGTAAA